CCCAAACAATGTCTTCACTTTTTCCTTGATCTCTGAACCTTCAGCATTCATCACATCCCCTTTTGCCTGCTCCTGTGTTCAGAGCACAGCATGCAAGGATTATGCAGGTAACTCTGTCTGGAGTGTATTGCAAGGCCCCTCCAGACAGATCAAATCATCAGAACCTCATCCTGAGGACACCTATTGCCTGGTCCACAAAGGGGGGCTAAAAAGATAGTTGTGTATCTACACATGGCCTCAATTAGGAGGTGGTTTAACAGTTGACAGCCATGTTTGAAGAGGCGCTTCTGTAAACCGTCACCATTTGGAACCTCCTTCAGCTTCCCTCCTGCACCTGTACTGCATCCTGAGGGGACTTTCTGCTGGGAATTGTTTCTGTGACAGCCACTTGGCATCTGTTGGAGTTACTGCTGGTTCTGGGCTTGCTGATGCCTTTGTTCCTCTTCAATTTCCATGGGCCTTTACTGAACTGCGACCACAGTGATGATAACATCTGCTGTGGCTAGTTCCATTGGGGATGGCTCCAATGACTCTATGTGGAGAATATTAGAAACAAAACAGATCCTCAGTAATGTAAACAGTCACAGCACATGCACATTTGAAAGTTTACCAGAGTTCTCAACATAATAGGACCTGGAGGCCTTCAAGAGGAGGGGCCATGGGATGCTTCTACATACTGTAACAGACAATGTTCAGATGTATGCATCACAAGTCAGTTTGCATAAGTAAAAGGAGGAGATTATAAATGTGGTACGGTTACTGACATCTTTTCCCCCCTACCCTACCCCCCACATTACCCAAGAAAGGCAGTATTGCTTATAAGAGCATGTTCTGGCCTACTTATAGTTGATTGTGAGAGGTTATCAACTCTGTGCTTTTGTACAGTCATTGAAACCTTGGAATGTGCTAATGAATTGTCAACCTCCGGTGAAAATGTAAAAGTTGCCTGTGATCACTTTTGCTTCACAAAGCTGACTAGGATTAATTTGTCATGATCAATGACATGGTCAGGATTGCTTATGGCCAGGTTTTATATTCTACGTCATTGGTCGGTGCATGAGCTGCACATGCAGAATTTTGTGATTGTGCATGTCTAATCTCAATTCTGTGCACGCACGATTAATGTAATTATCCTTTCAAGGGCCTTACATTGCCCACAAGTGGAGCCGACCACCACAGACAAAACAAAACAAAAGTTTCTCTGCCCACTCTGCGTGTGCTGACAACTATCTTTTATCTCTTAATGTGCAGTGAAGAATCAGGTGAAAATAGAAGGCTTTCCAGTTTGCATTTGGGAGAGTGATTTGCAGGTTCCATCTGTTTTTCTAGGTGCACTGCATCGCCCCAACCTTCATGTTCCTTTCTACATAGCAGCCTCTGTCAACCCCAGCAGGTTTGTGCCTTCCCACATTCCCACACAACTCTATTATTTAACAATTAATTTCTTCATTTACCCACTGAGCCCTAGACCTACAGTATAACACTATGATCCACCAAGGTGGTGGGAAAGATGAATGATGTCCCTTCCTGCATTACCCCATGCCTTCCATGCTATATTGGTTCTCTTGCTTTACGTAGAGTGAAGTCTGTTCTTGGTGATTAATGACTCTGTATTCCAGCATATTGGCTCTAATCGCCATACTTGACTTCCCCAATTTTCCCAACCCAGAACTGTCTTCGATAAGTCCCCTTAACATTTAGTAGACAAACCATTAGAACTGTCCATGACCCCCCCACAAACTGACTTGGAAGTCCACTGAGGGTGGGCCAGACCCCTGTCTGGTTTCTGCACAGCTCCCTGACTGATTAGTGCTAATCCCTGGACTGAGATCAGACAATGGTAATGATGTGGCAGAACCTATTGGACAACCATGGTCCTTTTTGACTGGACTCAAAAGCACTCCCCTTTGACTTTCAGACATGATCATTTGGTTGAAGCATATGCAGTGTGTTTGCCATGTAAGCTGCAGCCACATGGTGTAGGTGTGACTTTGATATATGATGGTGCTGTACATCAAAGTGCCACCCCTTGACTGGTAAATGCTGGCAAACTGTACTCTACCTGGCTTTGTGCCTGTGCTGAAAGGCAAAGCAAGACAGAACTACTGTGAGTCAGCAAGTTCTGAATGAAGTAGTAATGCACTAAAAGATAAGGCTGAGATGCTGTGAGCATCAAAGTACACACCAAGTGAGTGAGTTTTGAGAGAATAAGGTATAAATGCATCTTATTCTGATGTAAGAGATGGGTCCCTGTGTACAAAGTGGCCTGATAGCAGTATGGCAATGCAAGGTGTCAATGAGCACCAAAGTGCTGTAGTGAAGTTCTGAACTTCACTAGATGCAGAATGAGATGCAGAATGATGCTTGTTGAGGCTGGTGCTTTGCTGATGCCAGCTTCTATGGAGAGAGGGACAGGTGGTTACTGCCTATGTAGCATGCCTGAGATATTGAGCAACACTGGCCAAGGTGGAAGCCTGTGGGAGATGTCATTGAGCTGCAGCCACCAGGTACCCACTCTGACTTTCAAACGGGGAATTGGTGGGTGTTCAGCCACTGCCTGGGAAAATAGCAGCCTGCACATGAATGAGGTGAGGTTTGGTAATAATGAAGTGTTAGTGGCTGCAGATGGGTCTCTCCCTGCTCACTAGTGAAAGTCTCATCTAACCCATGAAACCTTAAGGGGAAAATCTGACTTTTTTCTTGACAGCGAGAATCCCATATTGTTCAGACATTGGGAAACTTGAGTTTCATCTGATGAAATATCTTCGACTTGGTTAATGCTGTTACTCTCTCCCAAAGTGCTGCCTGACCTGCTGAGCATTTCCAATATTTTCTGCTCTTACTTTTTAACTATCCACATCCACTCCAAAGTCTGAATACAACTATAGAAAAATTCCTTTTCGATTTCTAATGTTTTTGATTTAATTGTGAAGCTATGGCTGTTTAAAAATGTGATATAATCCAAAACCAAGGATTTTGTTCATTTACTTTGTTTACTTTCATAGAATCCCTACAGTGTGAAAGCAGGCCATTCGGCCCATTGAATTCACACCAACCATCCAAAGAGCATCCCCCCCCACTGACCTAGCCCTCTACTGAATGCCTGTAATCCTGCATTTCCCATGGCTAATCCATCTAGCCTGCAGATTCCTTGACACTATGGACAATTTGGCATGGCCTTGCTACCAGGGCAGCACAGTGGCTAGCACTGCTGCCTTACATTGCCAAGGACCCGGGTTCAATTCCACCCTCGGGCGACTGTCTGTGTGGAGTTTGCACATTCTCCCGGCATCTGCACGGGTTTCCTCCGGGTGCTCCGGGTTCCTCCCACAGTCCAAAGCTGTACAGGGTAGGTGGATTGACCATGTTAAATTGCCCCACAGAGTCCAGGGATGTGTAAGTTAGGCGTGTTAGCCATGGAAAATATAGGGTGCGGGATGGGTCTGGCTGGGATGCTCTTTGGAGGGGCAGTGTGGACTTGTTGGGCTGAATGGCCTGTTTCCACACAGTAGGGACTCTGAAAATCTACCTAATCTGCATATTTTTGGATTATGGGAGGAAACCCACACCGACACAGGGAGAATGTGCAAACTCCACACAGACAGTTGCCCAAGGGTGGAATTGAACCCGGGTCCCTGGCAACAGTGCTAGCCACCATGCAGCCCTCTGGTAGTTGTTTTTATTGGGCCTTTCAGAAACATGGCAACTTGGGTTGAGCCTCATTATTAGATGCAGATGAGGGTGCTACAATGTCAGAGAAGGCTGTAAATCATTTTTAAAACTCACTGGGCAGGGACCAGCTTGAATACCTATGCTCTGCCAGGCATTACTCGAGGTGGAGTGGCCTAACCAGGAGGTCTGGAAAAGGAGTCCTTCTAGCAAATTTACCACCAACTTTGGGAGATGTGACCCAGATACAACAGCCCTACATCTTCCCCAAAAGCCTGCTATCAAAATAAGTTAAAATTAGTCCCTTTGGCTCATCACCTTCAGATCAGAAGAATACTATAGCCATGGAGGAACAGGAGAATTCCTCTGGATGCACAGAAAACCTTTGCAAATTTTAATTAACACACTGCCTCTGACCTCTTTCTGAGCTATACTACTCATTGTTGAACAGTGTTCTGAGCTATGTCTTCAAGTAACTTCCAAAATCCAGGAGTTAACATAAAGACTGATGTAAATGTAACACTTAGTCTGAGGGAAGAATGCTAACTTTATTTAAAAGTCACACATGTCCATCCTCATTTACTGTAAGGGATAAATTTAGCCCCCATTATAAAAACATTTGACACAATATTCATTCAATAGAATGTGTAAGGCGACATTACCAAAAATGCTTTCTGTTCATCGATCATATTGCCATGAGGACAATTTAAAACAGTGAAATTATAATGCAGCAAAAGAAACTGGCAATTGGAGGAATAAACGCATGTAACAGATCAATTCATTAGAGGAAAGAAAAGTCAAGCATGGTGTGGAATGGGCAGTCAAAACTCTCCCCATTTTGATGGCTTAAAAATTGTGCATGTTGCAAAAGGTGTGCCTGTTAACTCAGGATGCAGTCACAGTTACCAATCTCAAGTAAATTATCAACAGAATTAATTTGTAGGTTTAGTAACGAGAAAACCTCATTCTGGGATCTGGATGTTGGTGTGCACATGTGTATTTAGACCTACAAGTTCAATTCCACTCCCAGCTTGGAAACATAAAATATTTTGAGAACATAGATGAGAATGCTCTGCCACTCAAGCATTTAATTAACATTTATTCCCATTCCAATAACCTTCTAATCATCCTTGGATTAAGTGTCAAACCAAAATAGATGGTTTCCTCCAGAAGTGCTAGAATCGGAATTTTGACATTATATGATTACTCTCATATTCCTAGGAAATAGAAACCAATTCTCAGCAATACAAAAGTAATAACTATCCTAGCTGGGTACAAGAGTTGGAAGGAAACAAAGTTCAATTTGTAAACTTTATTATACTTTATTACAGTAATCCGATGCAACAGACTCAAGGCACAGCTTTAGGTCATTACAACGATGAGCCAAACAGTTCCAGCGAATCAGAAAGCAGTTCAGGATCTGACTCTGAGGTCGGAATTTGCTCAAGTGACACCAATAGCGGTAAACCTTCACTTGTCGCTATGCCTGAGGTAGGAACCTATTTCTAAATGACATTTGGTGTGGAAGGCAACAAACAATACCATAGGATCAAAAGAGTGACAAGTGCTACAGCATTTTTTCTTTAAACCGAAAATATTGCAGTTACTGTCAAAGCAATAACATATTTACACATTATTTTCTTTAAATCAAAGATATTGCAGTTACAGTCAATGCAACAAAGTTTTTAAACCCCATTAACCTTATAGAGGTTTATAAAATCATGAGGGGTTTAGATAAGGTGGATGATAGGTGTCTTCTCCCTAGGGTGGGGTATTTCAACACTAGGGGCATGTTTTTAAGGTGAGAGGAGAAAGATTTAAAAAGGACACGAGGGACATTTTTTTTTACACAGAGAGTGGTTTGTGTGTGGAATAAACTTCCAGAGAAAGTGGTAGATGCAGGTACAGTTACAACATTTAAAAGACATTTCGATAAGTTCATGAATAGGAAATGTTTGGAGGGAGTTGGAACAAGCGCAAGCAGGTGGTCCTAGTTTAGTTTGGGATTATGGTCAGCATGGACTAGTTAGACGGATGAGTCTGTTTCCATGCTATATGACTCTATAATTAACCATCACAATATATTCCCATATATTTATCTACTAAAATTGCATTGAGCTACAGTGTATGACAACAGGCAATTGATCTGATCTTATAGAATGGCTAAAGTGCATTAAATGATTTGTTTTGTAACGACATTGTAGTTGAATATAGTATATTGGCATTAGGAATTTGTTCCAAACCAATTTTAGATTTTATTTAACCAGGCCAATTATTACAGTGTTAGGCCATATTTTAGATCTCTGTTAAGATCAAACAGTTTGTTTATACAAGTTTCCCTAAATGATACTGTTATCTAACACTTCCAGTTAATTATAGGTTCATTCCCACAATCATAATTAATTTAATAATATCTCTTTTTACTATTAATTTATTGTTTTGAAAGATTGTATTAAATTTGCTTTTGTTTCCAGCTGGGGCAGACCGCAAATAGTAAGTGGCAACTTGACAAATGGTTAAACAAAGTGAACACAGAGAAAAATGACACCACCACTGTGAACAAAAATGGCAATTATGGACTCAGCAACTATCAGTTACATTGTCGACAACAGAATGAGAACCAAGAAAGGGCAAAAAATCCTTTACTCAGTCAAACGGACTTCAAAGACCAAGAAAATCAAACTCTTGATGGAAAAAACCAAAGGTCTAGACCTGCTCTCAAAACTAAATGTTGTAAACAAATGTTACTGGCTGATAATGAATCTGCCGCTGAAAGAAAGTTACTTTGCAAAGAGCAATCCAGGAAGACAGTAAAAATGTCAATTGAAGATGATCTCAGTTTGCTGAGCTCAGAGAATCAAAGCATGATTTGTAATGAAGGAGGAAGCCAGGACTTAAGTACATCTGACCAAGACAAAATCAAACCTCCTGTCAACAAAATAGAGTTTAAAAGAGAACAGGAGACAGGTACACTTTGTGAGAAAATCAAGTACAGGGAAATTGGTAAAAACGTACCTAAATCTGGAGAATTTGTTGGAGCTGAATGTTTATTATCCTCAATCTTATCAGGCTCAAGACTGGACTCTGATAATGAACAGTACCTTCAAATCAAATATCCATTAACTTCTGTTTCACCAAAAAACCACAAAGTTAATGACTACAGCAGCGGTGTCAGCCGAGTCAGGAGCTGCAGTGCAGTCAACTCTGTCAGTGGTACGATTAATGAATCAAACAAAGACTCAGAAGAGCAACTGTTTGCTTTAGTTCCTTTTGGTCGAAATGAACTACTTTCACCTTTAAAAGGCAGTGGAGAGAATGAGGAACTCAAGTCTCTCTGGGTAAAAATAGACTTGACACTCTTATCTAGAATTCCTGGACAGTTATCCAAACAGTCTCTAATCCAAAAAAATGTTGCTGAGGGAATTTGGAATATCAGTGTCAATAAAGGTTGCAGTTCTTCAAGGGAGAAATTACCAACAAGATCAAAAAGGAAACGCAAGGTATACTAATGTCTAACTGTTTATAAATGAGAAAAGCAATCATCATTTGATGTGTAACTTGTAATCTGCCAGTGGGAAAAGGAGGCCGAAATAGTGTGAATCCCATTTTACCCAACACAAAACAGTCAAAATGGAAAATTTCAGAAATGCTTATGAGCACCCTTTCAAAGTAATCCACTTGCAACAGCAAGGAGGTTTGTTTCACTCAATTAACCAACTATGCAGCAAATCATTGCCAAAACATTGGACGTATTCAAGAGGCGACTAGATATAGTACTTGGGGCGAATGGGATCAAAGGTTATGGGGAGAAAGCAGGATTAGGCTATTGAGTTGGACAATCAGCCATAGTCGTGAAGAATGGCGGAGCAGGCTCGAAGGGCCGAATGGCCTCCTATGTTTCTATGCTTCTTTCATAGGTTATCTAGAATGCCTCTTCCCCAACAACTCACTCTTGACATATGGAGCTATATTTGGACAGAGTGTGCTGGAAAGTTCAGTAAACTTGCAGGATATGTTTGTTTTAGGAAAATAATATAATCAGTTTTTCTCTTCATTAATACAACAATCACTGTCCCATCGTTTACTTACCTTAGTTCCACCTATCAGCGCAGCCCTCTGGATATATTCTGACTTGCACATAATATACCTAATTCCGACAGAGTACTGGATGCTGTTAAATAAAATAAAGTTCTTGAGTCAGGATTGCAGGTAACACAATAAATCATACACCTATTCTAAAACCTTTAAAAAGAGTTATAATTTTTAATGGGCAGGATGGATGACACCACCCGCAAACTGGAGGAGCAACATCCCATATTCCACCTCGGGAGCCTACAGCCCAGTGGCCTAAACATGGAATTCACCAGTTTTAAAATCTCCCCACCTCTGGCCTCATCCCATGTCCAACCCTCCCTCTCATCCCCACCTACTTGACCAGACACAACCTGTCCATCTTCTCTCTCACCTATCTGCCCTACCCATCCCACTGACCAATCCCCACCACTGCCTACCTGCACTCACCTATCACCATCCCACCTATATTCCCCAGACCCACCCCTCTTCTCTCTACTTATTTCCCAGCTCCCTTCCCTGTCCCCATTTCTGAAGAAGGGTCCCAAACTGAAACGTCAACTTTCCTGCTCCTCTGATGTTGTGTGGCCTGCTGTGTTCCTCCAGCTCCACACTCATTTTTCTCACATTTTCACAGCTTCATGATCATTTTTACAAATACCTTTTTTTTTATTTCCAGATTCTTTTTAAAATCTGCCACAGTGGCATTTGAGCTATTGTTCTACTGGATTATTAGTCCCAGCCTCTAAGTGGTTAATCCAGTAATTCTATATAGAGCAAGATATAAGGAGAGGCTCAGGAGAGGTGACTAATAGCTTAGTTGAAAATGTATGTTTTGGGGAGATTTTTAAAGAGGGTTCTAGGGTGAGAGTTACAAAGCACAGGGCAAAGTCAACTGAATGATGGCTTTTGCTAACTCTTGTGAGGCAGAAAGTGGAACAGGTGAAAGTAACAATGGTTGAATATTTCTGTTAAATGCTTCCTGCTCTGTTATAGACAGTGCCATGATTTGGAGCATTATCTTCTCCATCAGGTTTAATCGATGAAGATGTGACTGCTCCTTCTGGTGCTTTTGGCTCCCTGCTGTTATGAGTTACTGTGTTCCTCAGGAGAACAGCCAGAATGCCAATGACAATGTTACATGTTGTTTGGCTGATATGCTTGCCACAGGCCAGTAGCCAGAGATATGTGGAGGTTGCACCAAATGGGTTTCAGGTGACATCCTTGGAAGGTGTGTAAGAGTGAGGTGCAGTGCATGAATGTTAGGCAACACTTCTTATGTGTTGGATAATGTTACTGGGTGAGGGATGGGTGTGTGATGATTTCATAAAGTGTGAAGGTCTTATAGGGAGCAGAATTATTCAAATGTGTCCAGGGCAGCTTTTTAAGCCAGCATGTAATAAGTCCTATAAGACAGAGTTGGTGCTGGACATAATTTTAGAGAATGAAGCTAAGCAGGAGATAGATTTGACAGTAGGGGAGCATTTTGATGATAATGAAAATAATTCAGTGAGATTTAAGGCAATAGAACAAGGTGGACTGGAAATGATGCTTCTTTATTGGGGTAAGAGCAAATTTAAGGTGAACATTTTCCAGCTTTGGCATCTCAGATGCATCTTTGATCCAAGATGTTGTTAGGACCCTGTCAATCAGTATTGACAACATGATGCTACAGGTTATTGATAGCTTCACAAATCCAGGTTCCACAATCACCAGCAGTCTATTACTTGATGGTGAAATCAATTTGTGCATTTGAAAAGCTGCAGGAGTCATGTTCAAGCTGAGTCAGAGACTGTGGCACAACAACAATATGACCACTGACTCCAAATTGTGAGTCGACCAAGCCTGGGACCTCAGTACAGTCTTCTGCAATAGCCATATATTCAAGGCAGGAGAAAAAGGTGAAAAGTTTCCAGCTTTGGTGTCTCAGATGCACCTTTGGTATGCCTTGGCAAGACAAGGTCGTCAGCTTGATGTCCTGGATGTCCTGCTTCTATCAGCATACTCACTAATAAGCCAACAATATCAGCGATATTGTTGACCATGTCATCAGATGGTTGGTCACCATACACCCAAAGACGTGTGCAGTGAAATAGCCACTACCAAAATTTGCTCAATGCCCATTCCTCCACTACAAGGACACAAATAAGATATAAGGCTGGATTTTCATGCCCTTGATAGGTGTGCTTTCAGTCTGGAAGCACATAGAATAAGTCGGCTGGCTAGTTTACCATTTTCCTAGCTGACCCCCATGATACAGAGGGTCCACAGGTGCTGAAATCAGCAACCAACATGTTTAAGTGCATCATTTAAAGGCTTATTGTTAAAAGCTCTATTAACCCCAATAGCCCATTGCCCCCACCAAAATATGGCTGGCATCAGCATTCAGCTATGAGTGGGCAGGCTACTTTCAAAGGCCTACATGATTAAAGGCAGAGAGGGTAAGGGGGATCCTGGCATATTTCCCTGCATGCATGGGTGGCATCCCCCAAGATGCCTTCTTCCTCACCATTAGCCTGACAGTTGTTTCCAGTTTCTTCTTATATTACCAGTCCATTGCCCATTATATTACATACACAGAGTTGACACCAAATATAGTCTTCAGGTCAATTGGAAGTAAAGGAAGGAGAAAATTGGATAAGGGACAACTGTGGCAATGGAGCTTAGAAGATGACAAATATCTGAGACTGAGACAATAGGTGCTTAGATAGAACTGCATTTGACATCTAGACTGTTGAACTATCTGCCTGTTATTAAATGTTGGAAGAGTCAACATCTCCACATGAGGATTAAGAAGATCTAAATGATGTTTTGCAACCTCTGCGCATCACACCATCAATTTTCTCTCCCCTGTCTGACTACTTGCTCATGCGGAACTCGATTGTGCGCAATCCCAAATGCTCTTTTTGATGGACTGAGCTTCAAATCATATATAGCCCATACATTACCACAACATTGCTTGTTAAAGGAGAATCTTTTATTTATCAGTAATTCATTTGATAAGTTTCTTAAAGGCATGGAATATTAAAATGTATGGAATTATCAGGGCAATCAGTGAGACCAGGTTGTCCAAATGGAAAAAAAGAGACCTGCAGATTAGTTGTGTTACATCCTTTTTTTAGTATTACAACATTTTCTCTGTGAAGTAGTAAGGAAATGTTTGCCATTTATTTACTGGCTTCTGTAATAACTTCTTCCATTGTATATTTTTGCAGTGTGAAAACAGTAATGCTGACAAGAAAAGTAAAAGGAACCATTTAGACAACAAACATCTTATTGTGGGACTACCCTCTACTGACAACTGTTCTGCATCAAGTCAGAAAGCTACATCTATCAATGAGTATGTGTTGTTACCTCTCCTTATCGTTCTTGCCATTGGTAAATCCGAGGCAACTATTCCTCATTCTAAAAGGAAAATCCTGCGTAATAAAATTCCTTGACTTTTCTGAGGAAATAATGTCAGAAGTCCACAGTGGAAACAATTAAAATACAGTATACCTATGCTCCCAGAAAATCAATCAACAAATTCATTTCCGCCTAGGAGGTAAACAACTGATAAAGGGTCTGCAAGAGATTAATTAAAAAGAGAGGTGGACTGAATGCGTGTGATCTGTTTCAAGCAAATAATGTTGAGTTTAGAATAATCCAGGTGCAGAGTAAGGAGCATTTATTTCATTTGAAATTCTGTGTGTAGGCATCAAGAGTTGAAACCTTTTATTAACTGAAGGACTGTTTTTCTCCTTTTCTATCGTTCATTTCCCAGTCAGCAATGAATATTGTCAAAATGGTTGTGGAAGGAAAATTGAGTTAAGACATTTAGTTTACAGTATAAGCACCTGTGTTCTTTGTAGTGGTATTTTTAATATCTTTAACACAACTAGCAATAAAATTGGGTAGTTATTAGTATTTGTGATCTTTGATGTTTGAGTTGTAGAATCATTTTCATTTAATTCATGAACGTTGAGCCTTCAATCTATTAGTAAACATCTGGGATCTCAGATTTTAAACAAAATGTTATTGGTCTGTACTGAGATCACAGAAATGGATTTGTGAACAGAAACTGACAGCATTCCATCAGCTTGCAGTTTTTTTTAGTGGTTATCATAATTACACTATGGAATTACATTCTAAAGTCTGAACCATACAATTTTATGGCTAAGTATAAATTGCATTGAGTTTTTTAAAATCCTCATGAGGCCTAGCAAGTTTTCTTACTGTCTCTTATCAAACATGCCTCATTAACCATCTACCCCACCCATGATGTCCCTCACATCCTATTCTAATATTAATATTAATATTCTGAACATTAATAAAGCGAATTGTGGCATTGATAGGGTGTTTAATGAACAATAATCTCCCTTAATTGGCAACTCGCTGCTGCCTAACGAGATACTCTTCACATAACTTAGCAAATGTATAAAAGATGCAGTGGGCCATTCTCAATGTTGAGATAGGGCTTTCCAGGCTTCTTGTGCAATTCTGCTGCCAATCCAACTAAAGCCCATTTCGTTCAGCCTCCTTATAGGTTTCCATGCATGGTATTTTGGAAGTTTCTGCAATGTCTTTATTATACTTCAGTAAATAATCTCATTGTTATTCCACACATTTGGGAGGAAGACCTCAAGCAATAGAACTTTACATGTTCCCATCTCTCTCTATGCAACCCTGACTGATGAGTTCTTTATGGAGTGAGGGAGTGGTGCTCCTCGCAACTAAAAATGTTATTTGCCCTAGCAACCCTTCTCTGAGAATAATTTTTAGTGTTATTTCTGAAAAGGCATAAATCTCCTCTCTCCCCCAGGTGTGTCCTAGGTCCTTGTATGAAACGTGTGGTAACAAAATGAAGTAACTTTTTCATAAAGAGAAGAACAAGATGCACCTTAATGAGCTGTGCCAACAAGTTTAAGCACTTGCTGTAGATTTCCCACCTTTTCCTTCCCAGAAACTTTCAGAAAATGGCCCAATACATGCTTGGACTGTCTCTTTTATGCAAGTGCACCACCTCAGTGGAATTCTTACCTTTAATGAGAGACAACAAGGTGCAGGGCTGGATGAACACAGCAGGCCAAGCAGCATCATAGGAGCAGAGAGGCTGACGTTTCGGGCCTAGACCCTTCATCAGAAAAGGGGGAGGGGAAGGGGGTTTTGAAATAAATAGGGAGAGAGTGGGAGGCGGATAGAAGAGGGATAGAGGAGAGGATAGGTGGAGAGGAAACAAACAGGTCGAAGAGGCGGGGATGGGGCCAGGAAAGGTGAGTGTAGGTAGGGAGTTAGGAAGGGGATAGGTCAGTCCAGGGAGGACGGACAGGTCAAGGGGGCGGGATGAGGTTGGTCGGTAGGAGATGGAGGTGCGGCTTGAGGTGGGAGGAGGGGATAGGTGGGAGGAAGAACAGGTTAGGGAGGCAGGGACGAGTTGGACTGGTTTTGGGATGCGGTGGGGGGAGGGGAGATTTTGAAACTTGTGAAATCCACATTGATACCATTGGGCTGCAGGGTTCCCAAGCGGAATATGAGTTGCTGTTCCTGCAACCTTCGGGTGGCATCGTTGTGGCACTGCAGGAGGCTTTACCTTTAATGTCAAGTTTACAGAAAGGGAAAACTAGAAAGATATGACAAACAACAAACATGACAAATAGTAACAATGTTATTGTTACCTTATACTCCAATATTTTGATTCCACTTTTTCATTTTGTCATTATACTAATGTAGATTATCCAAGCAAACAAATGGGACAGAGAAAATAATTCATCCCTTTCTTTCACCATTACCTGGAATCTCTAATCAGAAGCACCCCAATGAAATCAACACTACCGCTGGAGGAGGCAATGATACTGTTTTACCTAGCAACTCCTCATTATCCTTACCTTCCTTAAGTTGGAAATCTGAGTCTAAACCACAGAGATGCTCGAAAGACTCCAATGTAAGTAAACACAACATCCAACCTCTGCATAACATCATACATTTTACTTTATCATTTTAAAGAGTTGCTGAGACATTTTAGTTTATCTGTAGATAGATTTAGACCAAATTACCCAGGTATCTATTGTTTTGATTAGCAAAAGATATAGTGCAATGGCTCGTGAAACTTCTTGAAGTCACAAAAATAGTCCCTTTTCCGTTGACATATTTGAGATATAACACATCAAACTAGTATTTGTTGTGGTGCAAGAGAGTGTGGAGGTTATTATGTGGGAATATAAACCCGATATTGCTATCATACCTGTAGAAACTCTTGAAAGTCAGGATAAGCGTACATGAAGGAATTCATTGATAGCTGTATTCTAGAAAAGTAAATAAGCACATAAATGCAAAAGAAGTAGAAAGAAATGCTGATAGCTTCAGCAGGAATAGGATCACATGGAAAAATGTACTTGCCTAGCCAAATAGCCTGTTTCTCCACTGTAAATTTAATTTAACTCTAAGTAATTTAATCACAGAATTTCTAATTCTCATTGCAGGCCATGAAACAGATTGCTAATATTCTATGAGAAAATGAAATAAATAAGTAATCTTAGAGAATTTTACTGCTATTTTAAGTTAAAGTACATCTATACAATCCACAATGAAAAAGAATGAAGGAGTGAATGCATCAGGTGAGCTACACACTGTGTAGGTACAGAATTTAGGACATACAAAAGATGTGAAAAATTTCACAACATTCCCCAGCATACTGATATTGTACTATGAACTGAAGGAACTGCAGAAAAAGTAAAATATAAATAAATCTGATGTTTAAACTGAAATCATATTGTGGGGCTATTGGACAAATAGTAGTGCACAATGCAACTCTGTTCTATAAATGCAGACACCTGAAACACCAGAAAGTGTGCTCACTCTTTAAGAGTCCTTAAAAAATTATGCATCTGGCAATAGATGCTACTTGGAACTGCATAGGAAAGTCTAGGCTACACTTCTATGACTTAGTATCAGGGACCCATTAGTAAAATCGCTTGATATTAAAGCTCACTTTTGACATGCTGATTTATTTTAGTAGTTTAGAGTTAATATTACAGAACTAAACCTATTCCTGATATTTGAGGACTATTTTTATCATAACAAAATTATTTTTAGCATTGTCACCTAAGCTGAATTTCTTGGTCCAGAAATATAACAGTTATTTGAATCTATTACACTTCAGTCTGTTTGCATTTATCAACCTGAACATAATGCATGTTGTAATGTACTAACTTTCTGCCAGCTGCAGAGACAATTAACAATTTCCACAAGGAGTCTCCCAATCAGTGTTGTTAACTTTGGTGGAAATCGCAGATGGGCTTTGTGGCGTTTCTGCCAAGTTTCCACTGAGGTTACAGCAGCCTTTCTGGAGAACTTAAAACAAAATCCTGGTTAATATCTTATTCTGACATGCTTTTTCATGTTTACAGAATGAAGCATTTTTCATTTGCATTTGCTACGTAAAAATATTTCTTTGCAGAACTGGTAAATTTCAGTTCCATTGCACTCAGCAGCTGTGCACAAGCAGTGGTGGGAATCAAAACCACAATGACATAGCTGATGTGAGATTACGAGAATAAAAAAGATCAAATTAAGTCAGTCTGTAACAAAAAATACTTCATTTATTAAGTTTTCATTATTTGGATCACAGACTAATTCAGTGCATTCTATAAATATACTGTAATTATCATCTGTTTAGCAGATATGAAGAGAAATATTGGCATTTGCAGAATTATACTTCAAACTTCCAGGCACTGGCAACTTAATGAAACAAGTTAATTGCTTTATTTCAGTAGCATTGCAAATTGAGTGGGCACAACAAACGAAAGAAGCATGAAAACATTTTATCTATAAATAATTCATGATACAGAACATGCAATGAGAACATTGCTGATTTTGTTTATGATCCTTTCCCTGTGAATGGGTATATTTGGACATGTCATTCTATTATCCATTGACTGCCTTTGGTCATTTATATCATGTAAGAAGCAAACAGATGGTCAAAGTTAGAGATTCTCTGATCCATTTCATCCTGGAGATGAAAGAAATCTAAGTAGGAAACAGAAAATACTGTAACCGCTTAGTGGTCAGGCAGCATTTGCAGTAGGGGAAAGCATGTTACAAATAATTGCGCTTTTGTCAGAATCTACATTAATGCTTATTAACCACTTTTAGGTGTATCTAAAGAAAGGTCTTTTCCTTACAGTAATATTTTCTGACTATGAGAACTAACATTATCATTTTCCATGAAGGTCCTATTTGGTTCAACTAACTTCCGTTAACTTCACTTATCAAACAGTCAGCCATTTACACATGCTTTCACCAAGCGTTACAGATCTTTTAGATATATGTAGCTGACGCTCAGATTTAATTACAGGCCTTATATTTAATGAATAAATGGCACAGCTTGTATTCATTCAAAATGTTCCTAGCTCTGTTCATGCCATTTGTATAGTTCAGTTCTTTTCAAAAATAATTTTCAATGGCCCGGAACCTGACTCTTCATTATGTGGAGGTACTGGTGTTAGACTGAGGTGGATGAGGCCAGAAGTCGCACAACACCAGGTTATAGTCCAATTGGTTTATTTGAAATGACAAGTTTTCAGAGCGCTGCTCCTTCGTCAGGTGAAGTGAAGCACACAGGCAGAGAGATCAAAAGATCATACAAATGGTATGATTGGAGTGTTGACAGGCTGAATAATAAGTCTCTGCAGATGATCAAATGTGTCAGACAGTGTGAGTAAAGTGTCAACAGCTGAATAGCAAGTGAGGGATGACGTAAAATCTGATGAATTGAGGCAGAAAGATAATTACAAAAAAATAAAAATCAGGTGGTGCTGGAGACAAACCAAATGGCTGGAGTAACATGATAGGTATAAGTGTCACATATTGAGGGTCTAATCAAAGTAACAAGTATGAACAACAATGCATGAATGGACACTGCAACAATTGCCAGGCAGGAATGTTCCCTTTCAGTTGGGGAACACTTCAGCTGTCAAGAACATTCAGCCTTGGATATTCAGGTAAGCGTCTTCCAAGGCTTGGAATTGATGTAACTGAACAAAGAATTTTGTCGACAATTTTAGCTGCTTCATGTTTGCTATAATTCTTTCTGTCTTTCCAGCATCGAATACTACAAGTGGCATGTCGTTGAATGAGGGCACATTTAGAATGTATCTGTCAGGGTTTTACCATTTTGTTTGGTTCTCAATATATGCATATTGTTAATTTATCATTAAAAAGTTGACCGAATGTAACTTTAAAAGTTAAGCTTTCTCTGCTCTTCTGAAGGCATGGATCGCAACTGTGGTTTCATTTCATGGAAGTCAAGCAGTTTCAAAAATGTTGTTCAAGTAGCCATTTATCATATGGAATTCAAACAAAATGTTGGCCATCTATTCAATAATCAGAAGCAAAATGGATCAACCACTTTGACATGCCCACTAGCAAGAGTATTATTTGATTTCTTTTTCCTCTCAGTCTGAGGTCAGCAAATTTCACTCCTATTGTGACACAGCCAAAGAACTGAGCATTTGAATTCTGGTTTGAATCACTCAGGGTCATGCTACTAATATAAAATGAACCATTTAATGACTGCTAACCAGCTGGGATTTAAAATCTAAACTTAAAGCTGTTGTCTGATTAATTGTGAAAGGATCTGTGATCTGTGATGTGCACCAGGACATAGTTGGTTCAGATAATTTAGGATCCAATTTAGCATCTTTAGTGAGGAGAATATGTGGAAGAGTTTTGTTTTGCACAGCAACTGATAATGAGATGGAACTTGCTCCAGTGAATGGAGGCAGAATCCAATGTTTTGGAGGCAGAAACATCAGTGATTTCAAGAGTAAATTGGATGGGCACTTGAAATAAATAACCTTGCAGTGCTATGGAGATTGAGTAAAGTGGGGCTGACTGGTTTGCTCTGGATACAATGGGCTGAATGGCTTCCTTTTGTGCAGTAAATCACTTCATGATTTTGAGAAGAAGCACTGGTTGCGCTTTTTTGAAAAAGCAAGGATAATATTACGCATTTTTTTGAAAAAAAGAATGCATTTGTTTCTTTCTAGTTCCATTACATTTTCTTACTTTGCACACTACTCTGTACCAGCCATTTTCCACCAGTTGGTAGGGTATGATGGTACAATTTCTTCATTTAATATCTGCCAATATTAAACCACATATTTAACAAGAGTTGGTTGGCAGTTTTTCTCTGCATTAAGTGATCCATTCCTGTCCAAAGCTAATGCCACTGATTTCTTCTGTGATTTGTTCCTTCTTAAGGCTCTTTCTGGTTCTGACTCATAACTGTCAGAAATTCTGCCAGTACTCCATATTGTACTCTAACTCACCTCTTGTGCAATGCTATTAATAATTATGATTTTTGGATAATAATATTGGAGAGCACATATGGAATCAAACTTACAGAAGTCATTAGCGTAGTTGGCAGCAGCCTCTTAGGTCTACAAAATAGTATAACAGTGAACCAAAAGGGTTGACATTATTCAATGAAGTTACTGTACTGTAGTGTTTGACTAGTTGCTAATAAGCACATTGTAGCTATGATTTATCACAGTGTTCAAACCTTTAAAAACAGCTTTTGTGACTAATACTATTATCACATTCGTTATTCTGATCTATTTTGGAATTGTCTGCGCAAAAAAATATTTTGCTATACTTATATTGCAGAAAGGCCTCCACATTAACTCCAACAGCAATCAACTTTGCAATAGTCAATCATTTCAAACACCTCAAGAAAATTCATGGCTGGCGACTTCAAAGTTGCAAAATGATTCCTGCAGACCTAGGCTTGTTTTTGATGACAAGTGAGTAAGGCAATTTGAAATTTTTTTATTGTAATTGTGTTAAGTTAAATTCTTAAAACATCAACACTATACACTGCTGTAACCTCTGACATTTTAAATTGATTCATTTTATTTTTGTAGTTAACCTGCCTTCAAAATATTTACCACTTTAGAACATTTTGATTTATATTTCAGCACGCAACATAATGCTGACTATTACATGCAGGAGGCAAAGAGAAAGAAACACAAAGCTGATGCTATGGTACATTTGGTTTTCTATTTGAATTTATTAACATTTTGAAAAGTTATACATTTCAATATATCCTCACCAGAAAATTTCATTATTGAGACTATTGTTGTTTGGTTTAGGTGGAAAAGTTTGGAAAGGCAGTGAATTATATAGATGCAGCATTATCTTTTATTGAATGTGGCAATGAAATGGAACATGGACCGCTTGAAGCCAAATCTCCATACATGATGTATTCTGAAACAGTGGAACTCATCAGGTATGTTAAAATTTGTAATATTATTTGTGAAGGGGAGATTGTGTCTCACTAACTTGGTTGAGTATTTTGAGGAAGTGACAAAGATGATCGATGAGGGTAGGGCAGTGGATGTGGTCTACATGTAAAGCCTTTGACAAGGTCCCTCATGGACAGCTGATACAGAAGGTAAAATCGTATGGGGTCAGAGGTGAGCTTGCAAGATGGATAAAAAACTGGCTCAGTCATAGAAGACAGAGGGTAGCAGTGGAAGGGTGCATTTCTGAATGGAGGGCTGTAACTAGTGGCATTCCTCAGGAATCAGTGTTGGGACCTTTGCTATTTGCAATATATATAAATGGTTTGGAGGAAAATGTAACTGGTCTGATTAATAAGTTTGCGGATGACACAAAGGGTGGTGGAATTGCGGATAGTGATGAGCACCATCAGAGGATACAGCAGGATATAGATCGCTTGGTGACTTGGGCAGAGAGATGGCAGATGGTGTTTAATCTGGAAAAATGTGAGGTAATCCATTTTGGAAGGTCTAATCCAGATGGAAAATATACAGTAAATGGCAGAACCCTTAAGACTACTGATAGGCAGAGGGATCTGGGTGTACAGGTACACAGGTCACTGAAAGTGGCAACGCAGGTGGAGAAGGTAGTCAACAAGGCTGAAGGCATGCTTGCCTTCATCGGCCAGGGCATTGAGTTTAAAAATTGGCAGGTAATGTTGCAGTTTTATAGAACCTTAGTTAGGCTGCATTTGGAATATTGTGTTCAATTCTGGTTGCCATACTACCAGAAGGATGTGATGGCTTTGGAGAGGGTACAGAAAAGATTTACCAGGATATTGCCTGGTATGGAGGGCATTAGCTATGAGAAGAGGTTGGAGAAACTTGGGTTGTTCTCACTGGAACGACAGAGGTTGAGGGACAACCTGATAGATGTCTACAAGATTATGAAGGGCATGGACAGAGTGAACAGTCAGAAGCTTTGTCCCAGGGTGGAAGAGTCAGTTACTAGGGGGCATAGGTTTAGGGTGCGAGCAGCAAGGTTTAAAGGTGATGTATGAGGCAAGTTTTTTACACAGAGAGTGGTGGGTGCCTGGAACTCGCTGCCGGGGGAGGTAGTGGAAGTAGATACAATAGTGACTTTTAAAAGGGCGTTTTGACAAATACGTGAATAAGGTGGGATTCGAGGGATACGGTTCCCAGAAGGGTAAGGAGTTTTAGTTGTGATGGTCAGCATGTCAGTGGGCCGAAGAGGCCTGTTCCTGTGCTGTAATTTTCTTTCTTCTTTGCTCTATTATTGATCAAATTAAATACATAGTAGTCTACATACTTAATGTAGTTAATACAATGATTTAGCTAAGACTATTATGTGTAATAAAACACTGCATATAGGTGGGCAAGGATACTGAACCAGAGATCCTTTTTTGGAGTTGCTGCACCCCTGGCCCAACTCCTAACTGGAGGAAGGGTCATTTGGATATTACAGGCAGATATCTATGTCACATACAGTACTAAATAGGCACCAACTTTGGACAGGGGAAATAATTTTGTTGTTGTTGCTATGTAGGCCAGCAGCCCTTGCTCAACTTTTTTAAGATATCTTGAATTTTTTTTAACCAGGCCAATTTAGTGATTTTAAAAAAAATACATATATTCTTTCATGTGATGTACTCATTCCTGTCCAGGACCCAACCCAGAGGAACTCCAGCAGAAATGTCCTGGAGCTGGGATGATTGATCTCTAACAACCACAACCACGTTCCTTTCAACCATGTATGATTCCAACCAGAGGACAGTATTTCCCAATTTCCATTGATTTCAGTTTTGCTAGATTCGTTGATACCTCACTCAGCTGAATGCAGTCTTAATGTCAAGGACAGGCATTCTCACCTCAGCTCTGGAATTCATCTGTTTTGTCCACAATTGGACCAACACTGTGAGGAGATCAAGAGATAAGTGGCTGAAGGCACACAGTGTTTCATGGATGCATAATTTTAAGTTGCTAGCTCTTTTTGACATCAAACTCATTTAGCACAGTTTTAGTGCGATAAAACAGGATGAATGGTATCATGCATGTGGAGACTGTGCAGTTGTCACTCATGCTGATTTCAACCCAAACAGAGGCATCTGTGACAGGTAAACTGGTGAGGAAGTTGATTTTTCAATTTTGTTAGTTCCCTCACTATTTGCCACAGATCCTGACCTTTAGGAGTTGGCCAGCTCAGACAGTTAGTGATGCTGCCAGACCATTCTTGGTGATGGAAATAGTAGTCCATTATGAGCCGGAAAACACTCAATGCTTTTGCCAATCTTGGTGCTTCCTCCAAGTGGCGCACAGAATGAAGGAGAATGGATTCATCAGCTTAGGCAGTGTGATATGTAAGAAGAGCTGTTCTTGCCCACATTTGGCCTGATGCTATGAGACTTCACATGATCCAGAGTCAATGTTGAGAACTTCCAGGATGACTCCTTACTGGCTGTATACCACTCTGCTGCCACCTCAGGATTGGGATATCTGTGACATTGTCTGTAAGCTATGATTCCATGAGTGTGACTATGTAGAGCTGTTGCTTGACTAATCTGTGGAATAGCTTTCCCAATTTTGACACATATTGCCAGATGCTGATAAGGAGGACTTTTCAGGCTCAACAGGGCTGCGTTTGCCATTGTTATTTCCAGTGCCCGGTGGATGCCATTGTCCACCTCGTTTCTTGTTACAACCAAGTGGCTTGCTGGAACATTTCAGAGGGCATTTAAGTATCAACTACATTTCTGTTCATATGAACAATACAAAGGCAGGACCAAATAAGGACAATAGATTCCCTTCCACAAAGGACATTAATGAACTAATATTTTAATGACAATTGTGTGGTTACATGGCTGCCATTAGGCTAATTTCAGATTTTATTGAATTCAAATTTCACCACCGCAATGGTAGTATTTGAACCCTAGTCCATAGAATTTTAGCCTGTGGTTTTGGATTATTAGTCTAGTGACATTGCCATTACATCAGCTCCTCCCAGTTATTTTAGGAAACAAGCCTTTTAAATTCTCCTTGAAGCACTTAATGTCACTGTCTTTCAGAAGCCAACTAGTTCTATGGTACAAATAATGGGAAATATTTATTGATTTATTGAACTTAATATTGAGCCCAGAGGGCTGCAGGGTCCCCAAGTGGAAAACGAGGTGTTGTTCTTCCAGCTTGCACTGAACTTCGCTGGAACACTGCAGCAAGCCTGAGACAGAGATGTTGGCCAGGGAATGGGATGGTGTGTTAAAGGGGCAGGCAAATAGAAGCTCAGGGTCTTTCTTACCGGTAGAAAGCAGTTGAGTTCAATAATTTTAAGGCCTGATCTCTCCCATGTCCTAGCTTCCCTACCCCACACACCAAGCCTTGTTATCACATAGCCTGCCATTATACACTACCTATTGTTAGCAGCTGTTCACCCTTCTAGCTAGATCATTGTCAACTCCTTTGTCTGTCTAACTGCTCTTCTCTCTCTTTGGGCTCTATTCCCCCATCATCTACTCCTTAGTCCCTCACCTCACCCTATCTTCTGCATATAAACCAACATTTTCCTAGCTACCATCAGTTCTGAGGAAGGGTCACTGGACCCGAAACGTTAACTCCGATTTTTCTTTACAGATTTCCTAAGCTTTTCCAGCAACTTCTGTTTTTGTTCCTGATTCACAGCATCTGTAGTTCTTTCGGTTTTTATTTAATATAATTCTATTAGTAGCTAGACTTGAGGAATATTTCATATCTCAAAAGAATCTTGTTCGTGTGAATTGCCTTTAATATGAGCTTTAAGTATATGAAGAAATCTTTGATCAGTATGTCATTAGTTTCTTTCGAGGTACTCAGAATGCCAGGTGGAAGGTCAGCACAAATCCCAAAGGAACACTATACATAGCATTTACACCATTTCCTGGATTTTCTGCTGATCTTCTGCTGACGTATGGTGAGAAATTGAATAATATTTACATACATGATGAATATACATGTTGTCAGTATCTTTCCTTCATTGGAAACTGCATTCCATTCATTAAAGATGATCAAGTAAGAGCCAAGTAACTAAAGCAAAGGTTTAGATTTAAACAGAGTTGTTGATAATTATGTATCAGGAGCAGTCAGCAAAACGTAGTTAAAATATTTATGTATTAATAACACTTGTGTAAATAATGTGAATGGAGCAGAGATATCACTTTGAACAGTGTGGTAAGAAAATCACATGCAACTGATTTCGATAATTACTGCAGTAAGTTGCAAAATGAAAAAGAGATTGCCCAGTGTTGACCAAATGCCAATATGGAATGACAAACAAAACCATTTTGTAAAAGTGTTCAAACCAAAGCAAGAACATCATGATCATATAAACAAGAAAATACAAAAGGAATTTCCTAAATGGAAGAATAATCTAAGATAGGTGAGAACAATTTGTTTTATGGATGAGATACAGACAGGAGATAGTGTTGAGTGTACAACCTCAAGAAAAATGGCAGATCACTAACTAGAAGTTTTGCAAGACAACTCAATTTAACATCATGTCACAGTCACTTTATAGACTTTAAGTAGAAAATTGAGCAAGTTGAATGAAAGGTGGTGATGTACTCTGTCCAGAACATCACACCATAGGAAACTATGATGTGGTAGGTGGATCCAAAAACAAATGCTAAAGACTAAACACAGGAACAGCAAATAGACCACCAGTGTTCTACCGTTTAGAATTCATAAAAACTGCGATATAAACATTAACAGTAAATGCAGTTTCAGAGAAGTTTGCTCGTTTAGGCAACCATTTAGATTTAGTCGCAGAAAAGCACAGCATATTTCTGCAGCCAGACATCTCCCAGTTGAAATCTGTGAATAGTATATGAAGAGCAAGAGAGAATGGATAAACCTGAGGTAATAAAATTAAAGTTCCGAGCTTCTTTAAGAACAGTATGAGTCATTAAACCAAGCAGTGAACAAGTGTGAATATATTTTGGCCTGAATTTTCACTGCCAAG